CCCGCCGCGGTGGGGCTCTGCGGGCGCTCTGCGGCTCTGTGCGGGGCCTCGCTGCCGGGCCGGAGACGCACTTCGGTTTCCAGACCGTGACCGAGGCGGAGAGGAGGGAGAAAAGTGAGGGTGGCGGCGGAGTCCGCTGTGGAGCCGTGCGGGGCAGGGAGGGCTGGGTCGGGCTGGAGCCCAACGGGGGTCGCGGGCTGTGGGGGCGAAGGGGTGTTGGAGGTGTCTTTAGAGGTGGGAGGTGGGCCATTGGTTTGAGACATTACCGGGAGTCTCGGTGAATAGCACCAGCGTTATGCCAGCTCGGTTCTTCCCCTCAGCTCTGGAAGGGTTACGGGAATAGGCTGTGTTATTTCAAAGACACGTTTGTCAGGCAACAGGTTCGGTAGAATTCGATCACATTTTTTGTAAGGAGTTTTCAGGTGGTATTTTTCAGTTCCACATGGTGGCAGACGTCCACGAGGCAGTAAAGGACACATTTCACTTCCACAGGAGCATTTTTAAGTAAATTACATCTCATTATCGTGTCCCTTTTTTTCAGTTTACCAGGTCTTTGAAAGTGTAGCCAAGAAATACGATGTAATGAACGATTCAATGACTCTAGGGATTCATCGAGTGTGGAAGGATATCCTCGTGCATAAAATGAACCCTTCACCAGGAACACTTCTTCTTGATGTTGCTGGAGGAACAGGTAAATAATTTTGGTGAGTTCCACATGACAATGCCGTGCTGTTTTTTGGACTATTTTGAGTCTGCTCAGAATTCAGTTGCCTAGCCTTCCCCCCTCCCCCAGTTCCTCGTCTTTAAAACTGGGGAAACATCTACTTGATTTTCACACAGAAGGCTTGAGAGCTAACTTCTTGGTGTTTTGTAATATCTTGCTCCAAGGCTCTGAAAGTGTTATAGTACAGCCATGATATGTTATGGAAAACTGTTCCCATTTGTAGGACATCACGGACTCTTTGCTTTTAATATGTTCCCTTTATATATTATTTTTTATATATACACACACTGGCTTTCTCTCTGTCTTTCTATACTGTTTGTGGGGTTTAGTTTTGTTTATATACATACATTAAAAAAAAAAAACTCAAAAAACTCGGTTTTATGTTCAAAGCCTTATGTTCCAATTTCCTGGAGTCTGAAAACATTCCAAAACATACATTTTTCTTTTAAAACAAATGCAGGTGACATCGCCTTTCGATTTATTAATTATGTTCGCTCTGTACGAGAACGCCAGCTCCAGCGGAAGCTTAAGCACCACCAGAATTTGTCATGGCAGGAGATTTCTGAGAGTTACCAGGAAGACAAATCTAAGTCGCTAGGGGATTCACAAGTGGTGGTCTGTGACATTAACAAAGAAATGTTAAAAGTTGGGAAGCAGAAAGCACAGAACCTTGGCTACTCTGAAGGTAAGTCATGCATTGTACCATTTCAGTAGCATGCCTGATAGCAAGAATTTGATGCATGAAAGCCATCGGGTAATCACCCCTTCAGGATTACAATATAGATTATATAGCTATGGTGTATACTGTAGCTGTGCTTATATGTTTGCCGATGCTGAGTTACTTTTTCAATAAGCATGTATGTAGTATGTTGTTCAGATGTACAGTGATCTTCTGGAATAATACTTGAACTTTCAGAAATACATTTAGGGAAGTGTCCATGAGGTCTGGTACCCAGCTATCCTTCAAAATTGGTTAAATAACCTAAACCTGCTGTTCATATCTGTGCAAATGAATATGATTTTACTAAGGGAGATAATGCAAAAGATCTCAGTCCTAGAGTGATTACACAAAAGTTCTTATGATGGGTATTCTAAGAATCAAGGCAGGAAATAAAAAATACAAGAAGTAAAGCGTATTGTGAACCTATAAAACTTTCCACAGTTAGAGCATATGCTAATAATACTCAGAGAAACTGAATTATATCACATGTTAGTTTGCAGGTCAATGGATTAATTCACTGATATCTAGAATTTGTTGGGGACCACGCCAATCCTGATTGAAAAGCCTGATTTTAAGAAGTAAGACATAGAGAAAGAAGTCCTGCTTGTGGCTCAGCGTTTGTATGATAGTTGTTTATCGTCTCTTCATTTATGGATATTTGGCAAATATTTTAGCAATGTAAAATATACCAGCAGGTTTCCAAACTCTGTTTGCCTGGGTACCACCATTAGGTATGCCCAGGGCAGCCTCTCCATGTGTGTTATGAGATCTCCTGCATGTCCTTCACTTCACCCTGCTCCCCACTCCTGTTGGGACTTCAGCCTACAGATAGTGTAGGCTGAAGGGCATACAGAACAGCTCAGTATCACAAAGGAGCTGAAGGATAAGCTGCTGGCGTAGGTTCTCTCAGCTGCTCTTTCTCCCTGCTGGTGGGTTACTCCAGGCCATTGCCTCCCTGCCTCTTCCTTTTCTTTGAAAAACGAGCTAATTGTGAAAGCGTTGGTTCTTCCAGCTCTGGCAGACTGCTTGCATTGTGCTTATCCGAGCAGCTTGCAAGCCTGTCCAGAGCTCTTCATGCATCATAGTTTGGGAACACCTGAACTGTACCAACATTGTAAATATAAAAGCTTTATGACTATAGCTTAGGACCTGAAAAAAGCTTGATGCTGCCTCCTAGCTATTGTAAATAAAGCATTTTGTTTAATTGGCTGCATTTTTTACTATTTTTGTGACTTACCAAATTCTCAAAATGAGTGTTTGTGCTTTTTAATTTTCTTCCTCCGTACATTGTTGCTGCAGAAGCCCAACTGTTGTTTTGCAGCCTGGGTTGCCTTACACCCCACTGTGGCACAATTCTGACTTCTTACTCCTTTTCACTCCCTTGTTCAGCACATATCCATTTAATATGTTCTACTTTCTGTTTTTCATGCAATTCCTCCCTGTTGTAGTAATGTCATTTCTGAGCTTGCTTATCCATTCGTTGTCTGAGGTCTAAAATTTGTTTGTCTTAAAATTATAAGGGGCAGAATTGTCTTTCACTATTTTCCTATGTACATTCACCAACAGTGGGGTCTGTGCATGCTGAAAAGAAACATGTGTGTTGCACAATCACTGATTGTGCATTTTGTCCAGAAGGAGTAGTAGCCTGTGCTGCATCATGCCCCAGTTCCTCTTGTTGGACACTGACAGCCCCTTTTATGTATCCACTTAGAAACTCCTGGCCTGTGATTTTACCACAGTGTATTCTGAGGGACAGTTTTGCTGTTGCTCAAAACCTTTTCTTGATGCTCACTTCTTAGGTGTCTCTTCAAACTGTCTAGGTTTAAATAACACTAATAATTGCTGCTTTAATAACATTGTATGCTGCTTTGCATATAGTACTTTCTACAACTACAAATATATATACATTTTGTAAAAATGAAATTTGAATGTCTCTTGGCAACAACTTTTGTTTTCTGTTGCGTTTTGCTCTCCTTGGTGTCACTTTCCAGCATATTGCCCTTTGAAACTGCTGATCTCTGCAGTGTTTTTTTCCGTTGTTTTTTTTGTTTGTTTGTTTTGCATTTGATTCACCAAAACCAGTGACTTTAAGAACTATTAATTCTAAATTGAGCCGTCTTATGTTTGGTACAAATAACCTGGACATCCCGTGCTCCATAGATAGTCATGGCCTTGATCCGTTGGGGTTTTAGGAAGCAACACAACTGCAACAAGATCACATATGGATAGCGCAGATGGAGGGAGTGTGGCTTTTCATGTTCCTCAATCTATATAAGCGTTCTAGCAAAATGGTTTAAGTGTTTCAACTGTTGTTGCATGGCAAGGCATTAATCATTGTTTATAGTTATTCTTTGAGCAGAGGTTCTTTTTTTGCAACTTTGCTACAAACAAATGGCAGCCAGTTTCGGGAAAGCCAGTTGCTTTCCATTACTATGCAAGATTTGGGTGAAATCTTTTTTGGCAGGCTAAGGCACTGTGAACACGTGTGTGTATATGCAGAAGAAGGTTTTGGCTGATCTGCAGCGTTAACTACTTTGCTTGAAAGGCAGCTATATAGTACAGGGCCTTTAAAAGTTTGTGAGTATAGACCAAGGTGTCTTTCCACCAACAAAACCAAAAAATAGAAGTATTAGTTTTAAATATCACTTTATTAATAATAATTTTCTTCTTTAATAGATAAGTTCTAGTCTTTCTGGAGCAGTCTGAGTTCAATTCTGCGTCCTTGGCTTTTATTGCAGGCTTGTCCTGGGTGCTTGGGAATGCTGAAGAGTTGCCCTTTGATGATGATATGTTTGATGTTTACACAATTGCTTTTGGAATCAGAAATGTAACTCGTATTGATTTGGTAAGTTGCTGTAGTGTATCCTGACAAGGGGTCCTCACGATTCACCAGAAGTTTTTTATTCTAGCGGAGAAAGTAAAGGAGGAATTCCTTTGGATAAAGGAACATCTTTGTCTACTCCTGAAACATTTAAAATAAGTGGCATGTAGTGTGCAACTTGTTTATATGAAGAATGCAATTAAATACCCCGCCTTTGTCATAAAGAGTTAGATTTATACTAGTTGCGCCCAATCCATCCAGCTTAGCAAGCCACACAGTATCTTTCTAAGGCAAAAAGGGCTGAATGTACAGTCATTCCCTACCTTCTGCTGACTTACGATGACACTGGATCTACACGTGCACAGTGCAGCTCTTCTGCATGTCTCAAATCCTCGTGAAACACCTGATGTATATCCCACCCGCTGTGGGTCCAACACTTCCTCCCCCATTCTGTTTCCCTGCCTGAGCCAGCAGAGCTCCCAGAGCAGAGTGTGGGAAGCAGCTGGCATTGAAGTAACCCATTCAGCCCACTGCTTCTCGGTGTCTTTACACTGTCTGTCTGGTAGTACGGTTTCCTATGAAAAAATAGTATGATTTTAGTTAGGCTAAGTAGTACCCCTTGTTCTAAACAGTATCTGTCCTTCAAGAATGACTAGCTGTCTTGTGGGTTAAGATAGGTTAGATCACCTGTCCAGCTAGACTAGTTGTCTGTTTTGGAGGGCTGAGTTACAACCTTGGTAATGCTCCTTCTGTGGAAGGTGTAGCATTTGGATCCAAACCACCTTGAACTGTGTGCCTTTGAATTTCTTTTAATGTGGATGGCTTTTCACGATGCTTTGTCTGCACCCTTCTGAAGCACAGGCTCTTTGCCTTCACGGGTACAGCAGTCTGGTGGCATAGCTCCCTAGAGACCTGATACAAAACACATCCAAGCCTCCAGTTCTTTTGCAGAGCTCCTGTCATGTATGTGTACCGTTTATATTTTATCCTTTAGGAACATGGCAGTTGAAGCCAAGCAGATGTGCAACCTGCAGAGGTTCTTGAATACAACTCTGCTGTGCTCTTGTTTAAAAAAAAGTACAGTTGTAAACAGAATTTTGACTTGGGTGGTTCTTAGGTCTTTTATTTTGGATAGAAGATGGAATTTTCAAAGTAGCCAAAGATTTTCTTCTTTGCTCTTCTTCCTCCCTGTTCTCACACATTACTCATCCAAAACCCAGTATCATTTCTTCTTTGATCCTTTGGGTGTGCCTCACAGTTGAGTAAAATCTTTCCTTTTGATTAAAAAAAAAAAATATCTATCATGCCTTCTCTTCATTTTCAGCTTCTTGTAGCTGAGTCACCTTCTCCCTTTTGGGTTTGGTCTGTAATTACGAGAGCTCTGCTGGCAAACATTCATCAACTAAGAGTAGGGAAAAAGAAGAAAAATTGCCAACCTGACATCATAGTTTCGACACAAAGCCTGGTATAAACCTATTTATGTAGCAGCAAGAGTTTTTGTGGTTTGGTTTTGTTGGTTGTTTGGGTTGTTGTGGGGTTTTTTTTGTACTTGTATTGGGATGCTTCTCCATGAGTAAATATTGGAGATTGCCAGTCGGGATTCTCTTTACTCCCCTCAGTTCATCACTGATTTGCCATCATGTGGCATGATTATAGGCAGGTGCTGTTCTACATAAACAAACTTATCACATTTCCTTTGTTTCAGGCACTTCAGGAGGCCTATCGTGTGCTGAAACCAGGAGGAAGATTTCTCTGCCTTGAATTTAGTCACGTCAGCAACCCTCTTCTTTCCAGGTAGGAACATGGTGACACTTTATGCCATGTCACAAGGCTCTCTTATTTGTACTCAGCCAGAATAAGAGACAGACACTTTGAGGCCACCTCATTGTGCCCTTTTAAAATCAGATACAGATACTTGTGTTGGAGAGGGTTGGTTTTAAACTTGTTTGCATAATCTGTATTTGCTGTCTGTCTGTGCAGGCTCTATGATCTATACAGTTTCCAAGTTATCCCTGTTCTGGGTGAAGTTATCGCTGGTGACTGGAAGTCTTACCAGTATCTCGTGGAGAGCATCCGACGTTTTCCCCCTCAGGTAAGACAGTATTTTTCTGAATTCAGTAACACAGAACACACGGTTACAACATAATCTTGCAGGCAGCTGACTTAGAGGCCTTCAGGTTGTTATAATTATGTAACTATTATTTTTCAGGAGGAGTTGAAGGCAATGATAGAAGATGCAGGGTTTTTTAAAGTGGATTACCAGAATTTAAACTCGGGCATTGTTGCCATTCACTCAGGTTTCAAACTGTGAGTCTGCTACATAGCAAAACACAGGAAGTGTAATTTTCCTGAGGAATATGAAAGCTGTGGAATTTTAATGCTATCAAGACTGAAGAGGGGTTTTAAGAATTTGTGCAACAGATACTTGCTCAGCAGTCCCAGAAGAACATCAGCTATCTTTTTCCCCTGAGAAACCTGTGGATGAAGTGATTCCTCTGGCATTTCTTACACTTGCATTTCCCTTCAAGTGCAACATAAGGGACATGGCCAAAACTGAGCAATGCTAACAAATGAAGCAACGTCAGTTACCAGTCTTGTGCATACAGAAATAGACTGACCTGTCTTGGAATAAGATGCCTCCTTTTTTTTTCTTTTTTTTTTTCACTAAGCTTTGAGGAGGGTATTATACCAGTGAGAATTACTTGGATTTATTAGATTTTTATTAAGCTGTCATTATCTTTGTCATGTGGACTCTAAGAGATTTTTCCCATGATTCTTTACTTCTTTCAGAGGCAAATGAAGGCTTGTGAAATAAAACAGCTCTGCATCAACTCTTTTCACTTAGGTCAATGCTTTAACTTTTGTAAGGAGATTTCCTTTCTAAGAAAGGAGTTGTTCTTCTCATGGAGAATGACCCCATAACTATATTCTGGGATGAGATGATGTGTTTTCACTTCCATACATCTTTTTCTATGTCAGTGCTAGATGCAAAATCTCTATGTAAAAATGTGCATTTCCTTCTTTTCTTTAAACTAAACTGTTAAAGAACAGATGATTCTGTAGCAGGATAGACAGGGAAAAAATATGGAGAAAGTATAAATTTACATTCTAATGTGAGAACTGTGTCATGAACTATTATGAAAATTTCTCTCTTCTGAAAATTGGGAGAGAAAAGGACTATTGCTTTTAGCTCACCTGTTCATTTGAAATCAGGAAAGCAGCACCATGCGTCTAAACTCCAGCATTTGCACTGGAAGCTCTGTACACTGAAAATCTGTTTATCAAGAACTGAAAAGCAGTCTCTCTTCTTCCACGGAAACTGACTGACTCTTACTGACTGGAGATGTGTTCGTAGATTAGCTCAGTATTCAGATGCTGTGGAGGTGGGAATGTTCCTCCATCATTCACAGTGGAATAAAGAGGGTAACGCAAGCACTAAGAAGGCAGAAGTGTAGCGAAAACTCTTAAACGATGAACTTGTTCCAACAGTTTTATTAGCAAAGAAGCTGTCTTTTGAAAGAAAATAAATACAAGGAAGACATTCTTGCCTTTTTTATAGCCACAATGAAAATACCAGCTGCTACAGCAAAATCCCTGACCATTAACAATACAACAAAAGACCTGAAGACAAAGGTTTTCTCGTGAAGGCTGGGGTGGGAGGCTGCCTCGAGTTAGTGTGCAGTCGTAACCGGGTGCAAGTTTCAGTAACAGTCCGTGGTTCTAACCAGACTTGAAAAGGAGAATAGCGACTTGGCCGAGGTAGAAGTAGATGAAGTGCTTGGTCTCATGAGTCACGTAGCTGCCAAAGTTCCTTCCCACAATGCAGTGCCAAGTGGGATTGTATTTCTTGTCAAACTCCTGCAGAAGAGAGAACTAAGAATTCAGCATTTTCGTGATAATTGTACCAATATTGTCTAACAGGATTTTTTTGCAGTGATATGCCACTTGTTAGCAAGTATCACTTTTGGAAGAAGGCAATTAAGGAGCAGCATATGCTCTTAAGTGTAAGGATCATCTGTCACTTTATAACTCATCTGCTGCTTAGTCAGACAAAAAAAAAAAACATGCTTCTAAGTTGAGCAGGAATAAACTTAAAACATATGTTTGGGGTGGTAACTTTTCCCCTAAAAGTCACACCATGGTCTTAAACCGTAACTTTTAAGAACTTCACTGCTTGCTCTGCATCTCTACAGATTAAGCCATTCTTTTGACTTCATTAGCCATTTTGAACAAGGATGCTGAAAGGACTCCAGATGGAAAATTCTCTGCCCCATCCTTGACAGCAGGTAATGAGACCGTGTCCTTCCTACACGCTGGTGTCAGGAGCCTGCTATGGCTTTCAAATGAACTTGTGTGTGCAAGTCTGCAATGAGTAAAGCCCTGCAGTCAGTGGTGATGCACTGCAGTATCTAACAGCTGTCAGCTGAAGAGACTTTCTGTGAGAGCATGCAAGCGTTCATGTTCTGCTCAACCAAATCCTTCAAATACTTGCAGCTCAGTCGGGCTCCCAGTAGGAGTCAGAGAGAAAATCCGACAAACTGGAAGCTATGAACCATCTGTTCTGCATTGGCATGAACAGTTTGTCTTACATGTGATGGTGGGAGAATAAAACCCACGCAAAGCCACTTCTTATTACAAGGTCAGCAACCCACCACTTCTCAAATAGGCGCCACAGGGCCCCTGTGCTCTGTTCTGTACCAGCTGATCAGTCCCAGGGACAGTCAGCCCTGTTCACCTGGACAATGGGACAGTGGCAGAAAAGGCTTAAGCAGAAGGTACTGCAAGAGAAAAGAACCTGGAAGACTCCACAGAAAGGGTGGGGAAAGGAACATAAGAACACCAGCCTACAGAAAAAGTCCAACTTGATTATCTAGTATCTCGAACTTGTTTCGCTAGAGCTACTTGCCCAGCAGCATTCTTCCTGTTTGATTTTTCATGCACATAGAGATTTCACCAGGACAGCACGAGAAAACACTTACCTTCTTTATGTGAGCGGCAATGTCCTTCTCGATGTTGTACTTCTCCAAGGCCTGAGTAGCGCACTCCACAGCATCCTGCTGCATCTCTTCTGACATGTCCGCATTCTTGATCACTGCCTTTCGATCACTCATGATTGCCTGGCTCGAGCAAAGAAGGAGAGAATTCCAAGCTGCGGGCGCAGCCGCCTGCCCGGCACTCGCACAGGTACGGCCGCTCGCAGCCGGGGCTGTGCAGCCGTTTGCCGGCGGTGCCAGAGGCT